ATTGTAAAAGTAGCTTATGAAAAAATACACAAAAACGACAAAAGTCAATGACGATGCAAGGACGCTAGAAAAATGATTTTTCCAGCAATTAACATGACAAAATCAAAGTCAGTAACCAAACTGATTTACAGTTATTTTTGAACTCAATCATTTTTTATTTATTATACCTACACGTATAATTACTATAAATACATAACCGAAACATAAGATAAAATTTCAAACTTCCACAAAATGCACATATTTAAAACTGAGTTTAACTGTGTGTTTGTTTATTCTATATTGTCTAGAGAAACTAGGGGAGGGTTGAGTTCTCACACAACATGTTTTACCCCTGCCACATTTTTGCACCTAATCAGGAACCTCTAGCCTTTGTTTGTCTTGTGTGTGTGTTTTTTTTTTTGGTGATAATTTTGGTTCATTTGTATGTACTGGAGTTTAGGGTGGTGTCCATTTTGCTGAACTAGTGTACAAAATAATTAAGGGGTCGGCTGAAGCCCACCTCCGTGTGCCAGATTAACGTGCTATGTTAAAGACCTATTAGTGGCCTTATTTTCTCTTTGACACATTCACTGTTTCCATTCTCCATTTTTTCGTTTTTAAAAATCAAACTAGAAATAACAAAGATTTTAAAACTTGCATTTTATATGCCCCTCACTTAGGGGCATTATGTTTTTTAGTCTGTGCGTCTGTTCGTTCGTCCGTCTGTCCTGCTTCAGATTAAAGTTTTTTGTTAAAGTTTTTGGTCAAGGTATTTTTTAATGAAGTTGAAGTCCAATCATATTGAAACTTAGTACAAATGCTCCCTATGATAAGATCTTTCTAATTTTAATGCCAAATTAGAGTTTTGACCCAATTTCACAGTCCACTGAACATATAAAATGATAGTGCGGGTGGGGCATCCGTGTACTATGGATATATTCTTGTTTTGTAGTTAGTGTGTAAAACAAAATATTTCACACAACAAGAGGAATACATATGCGATAAACATAAGATAATATAGTCTGTCTATAAAGATCCTATGTTAAAAGTTTTAACCATGAATAATCGAGTTTTTTATTTCCATTTTTCACAATTTTTCTCTACAAATCACATTTTACACAAGAATTATAATTTTTTAAATACTAATAACTATGGGACTTCTTAAGATAAACATCAGATAGTATTCTCTATTTTCTGTTAAGATCCCAATTTGAAAGTTTTAACCATCAATAACCGAGATATTTTCATTTCCAGTTTTCCGGGTTTTCGGTCTTAAAACATATATTCAACCAAAATTGCCCAAATATTAATATTGATAACTAAAGGACTTCACAAATAAAACATAAAATAGTATGTTCTTTTTTCTATATAGATCAAATTTCAAAAATATTAACCATTAACAACGGAGATTTTTTACGTTTCCAGTTTTCAACGTTTTTCCTCTAAAAATCACTCATTTCAACTCAAAATTACGTCAATATGAATAATAATAACTAGAGGACTACATAATACTCTATTAAGATAAGGTTTCCTGTCTTCAACAAGCTTTAGGTCTAACTAGAGGCTCTCAAGAGCCTGTGTCGCTCACCTGACTCTACTTTGGTTTTAGAAATCATGTAAAGATAGATAAAAAACATAACGGATACCCAAATAATGATTGAGGTCAAATTTTGATTAATATTGGTCCCGTTATTTAATCAAATATCCTGGTGGCCATCTTGAACAGTAAATCGGCAACAAAGTAGCAACGCTTGGTCAGTACTTCATAAGGAACATTCATGCCATGTTTGGTTTCATTCCATTCAGTGGTACTCTAAAAGAAGACATTTGTATGTATTTCCCATAGGGTCCTATGTTAAACTAAGCCCCTCCCCCTAGCGGCCATCTTGGATGATGGATCGACTGCAAAGTAACAACACTTGGTCAGCAATTCATAAGGAACATTCATGCCATGTTTGGTTCAATTCCATTCAGTGGTTCTCTAAAAGAAGACAATTGTATGTATTTCCTATAGGGTCCTATGTTAAACTAAGTCCCCCGCTGTCGGCCATCTTGGATGATGGATCGGCTGCAAAATAACAACACTTGGTCAACATCTCATAAGGAAGATTCATGCCATGTTTGGTTTCATTCCATTCAGTGGTTCTCTTAAAGAAGACATTTGTATGTATTTCCCATAGGTCCTTTGTTAAACTAAGTCCCCTGCTGTCAGCCATCTTGGATGATGGACCGACTGCAAAGTAACAACACTTGGTCAGCACCTCATAAGGAACATTCATGCCATGTTTGGTTTCATTCCATTCAGTGGTTCTCTAAAAGAAGACATTTGTATGTATTTCCCATAGGGTCCTATGTTAAACTAAGTCCCCCGCTGTCAGGCCATCTTGGATGATGGATCGGCTACAAAGTAACAACACTTGGTCAGAACCTCATAAGGAACATTCATGCCATGTTTGGTTCCATTCCATTCAGTGGTTCTCTAAAAGAAGACATTTTTATGTATTTCCCATAGGGTCCTATGTTAAACTAAGTCCCCCGCTGGCGGCCATCTTGGATGATGGATCGGCTACAAAGTAACAACACTTGGTGAGCACCTCATAAGGAACATTCATGCCATGTTTGGTTTCATTCCATTCAGTGGTTCTCTAAAAGAAGACATTTGTATGTATTTCCCATAGGGTCCTATGTTAAACTAAGTTCCCCGATGGTGGCCATCTTGGATGATGGATCGGCTACAAAGTAACAACACATGGTCAGCACCTCATTAGGAACATTCATGCCATGTTTGGTTTTATTCCATTCAGTGGTTCTCTAAAAGAAGTCATTTGTATGCATTTCCCATAGGGTCCTATGTTAAACTAAGTCCCCCGCTGGCGGCCATCTTGGATGATGGATCGGCTACAAAGTAACAACACTTGGTGAGCACCTCATAAGGAACATTCATGCCATGTTTGGTTTCATTCCATTCAGTGGTTCTCTAAAAGAAGACATTTGTATGTATTTCCCATAGGGTCCTATGTTAAACTAAGTCCCCCGCTGTCAGGCCATCTTGGATGATGGATCGGCTACAAAGTAACAACACTTGGTGAGCACCTCATAAGGAACATTCATGCCATGTTTGGTTTCATTCCATTCAGTGGTTCTCTAAAAGAAGTCATTTGTATGCATTTCCCATAGGGTCCTATGTTAAACTAAGTTCCCCGATGGCGGCCATCTTGGATGATGGATCGGCTACAAAGTAACAACACTTGGTGAGCACCTCATAAGGAACATTCATGCCATGTTTGGTTTCATTCCATTCAGTGGTTCTCTAAAAGAAGTCATTTGTATGCATTTCCCATAGGGTCCTATGTTAAACTAAGTCCCCCGCTGGCGGCCATCTTGGATGATGGATCGGCTACAAAGTAACAACACTTGGTCAGCACCTCATAAGGAACATTCATGCCATGTTTGGTTTCATTACATTCAGTGGTTCTCTAGGTGAAGTTCAAAATGTAAAAAGTTAACGCCGACGACGGACGACGGCTGGCGGCCATCTTGGATGATGGATCGGCTACAAAGTAACAACACTTGGTGAGCACCTAATAAGGAACATTCATGCCATGTTTGGTTTCATTCCATTCAGTGGTTTTCTAAAAGAAGTCATTTGTATGCATTTCCCATAGGGTCCTATGTTAAACTAAGTCCCCCGCTGGCGGCCATCTTGGATGATGGATCAGCTACAAAGTAACAACACTTGGTCAACACCTCATAAGGAACATTCATGCCATGTTTGGTTTCATTCCATTCAGTGGTTCTCTAAAAGAAGACATTTGTATGTATTTCCCATAGGGTCCTATGTTAAACTAAGTTCCCCAATGGCGGCCATCTTGGATGATGGATCAGCTACAAAGTAACAACACTTGGTGAGCACCTCATAAGGAACATTCATGCCATGTTTGGTTTCATTCCATTCAGTGGTTCTCTAAAAGAAGTCATTTGTATGCATTTCCCATAGGGTCCTATGTTAAACTAAGTCCCCCGCTGGTGGCCATCTTGGATGATGGATCGGCTACAAAGTAACAACACTTGGTCAGCACCTCATAAGGAACATTCATGCCATGTTTGGTTTCATTCCATTCAGTGGTTCTCTAGAAGAAGTTCAAAATGTAAAAAGTTAACGCCGACGACGGACGACGCCGGACGACGGACGCCAAGTGATGAGAAAAGTGTAACCATAAATAACAATTTTTCTTCTTTTCCAATTTTCAGCATTTTTTCTATAAAAACCACATATTTCACCCCAAAATAACCTTTTCCGCAAATTCTATCAATGTATAGTTTTAGTATGTTGTTAGTACAAGTCTATATTATAATTTGCACTAAAAAAACCTTGTGTTGCAATTAGTTGCAGGTTGAGCGATTTTAGAGCTAAATTGACTAGGCTATAAGGTATCCCAAATACAAACAAATATTTATATTAAAAAAAAATCAAACTAGAACTTTTCAACTGAATTTTAGACAAAATTAATGTTCTTGAGGAGGAAAAAATGTTATAAAATCCTATAAAGAAAGAAAGAGGTATGATATGAGCCATTACCTGGTCACTGAATTGGCAAAAACAATTAAATTCTTCATTCCTTTCAAAATGATGCTAATTCTATAGGATGATATAGTCTTGAAACGTTTAAGTTCGAAATGTCCGGCTGATTAAAATTTTTCTCCCCTGCTCGGCCACAGATGGGTGAGTTGTCACATTGCTTTGATGTAATAACTGTTTTGACAAAACATGAAATGTGTTACCAATCAGAGGACCTGTATTTTTTTTATTAGACTTGGTGTATCCCTAGATATAGTTTTATGTTATGTTTATTGCCTATATGTGGGCATGTCTTTGTTATTAACTATGTATTGTCTTTTGTTTTTTTTAGTTATCTTGATAAGTAGTTTGCTTTTTCATGTTTTCAAATTTTATTTTTCCTGTCATCCATTCACTTCCGTACTTCTTCGGTCTCTATGGCTATATTGGAATGATAACTTACCAAAACTATATTCCAGACAGTAAGAGCATGTTCCTTATTGATGTACTGACATAAACACATAAACATGTACGACACTGATCTTGTCACTAAATCCAATGGTAACTCAGATTTCTTCATGTTCTTCCCTACTGGTCCTAACTTAGATAACATCAAGGGTAACACCTGGAATACAGTATGATAGACCATTCATACATTTGTCAACTATTTGTAAAATACATGGCTAGCCACAAAGAAGCATAAAAACATCAATGAACATTCAAATACATTAAGTCAAAAGTTCCAGTAGCCAGAAAATTTTAATCAATATTTTAATGTAGCCACTGATTTGTAAAAACATTCAATTTCTATAAACATTAAAATAAAATATTCTAAAAACATATCAAATAAAAAAAAAAACTACTTTTCTCTCTACAATATACATTAAAATACATGTATCTTTAATCATTGTGTAGCTTGAAATCATGTACACTCCTAATGCTTCGATCTTGAAATAGAGTAATGTTCCTGGAGCATTTAATAGATTATTATAAAGTTTGGAATCATACAAATATAGTTGATTTGAATAAGAAAAGAATCATTAAATGTGTTCATAAAAATATTTTTTTAATTTTTTGGTTTATAAGCACAACTGCAACTGTTAAATCTATCCAGTAAAATATCTTTACTCACAGTGTCTATACAGCTGTGCATTTGACCTTTCACCCCTTTTATCATCTCAAACAGCAGCCTACCTGTGCCTTCAGCCCTCTGTAATATACAAAAGTAAAGCACAATGCACTGCAATATACAACAACATACCGTACAAACAATAAAATCAGAAAAAAAATATACATCATTGAACATCGACAGCAAACACTTATACCGGCATTTTGCATTATTGTGAACCAAATGAAAACTGCTTAAAGCATTTATGAGTTATTGGCCGAAAACTGGAAAATCCCCCCTTTTTTTATAAATAAAATCCAATAACTCTGAAACGTAAAACCTAAAATTTATAAAAATTGAAAGTGAGCTTACGTCAATAGATATATAAACAATTCACCAAAGTTTCATGAAAATTGTTTGAAGCTTTTTTGAATTATTGTCTGACATGTTGACGACGGACGGACATCGGTATATCATAAACTGGCGTATAAAAACCATCAATAATCTATAATTCAAAGTGTTTGTTGCAATTTTTGTAATACCTTACACAATATCAATTCTCTTGACATATTTTATTGAAATGTGCAGGTAAATGGTTGCAAGTTATTCCCATCACTACTGTCAGGTGTAAAAAGATTGTATCTTTTATTTTAAACGTGTCGCTGTGTACTTACATCACTATGCTCCTCCAATGTTTGAAACATAAAATCAAACAACTCTGAGGGATTCTTAGCCTGTAATAGTAAATGTAGCAATATCACTGTGACATTCTGTCATTACTTAATACAGGAAGTCGTCTGCCATTGAAGAGAATTGTAAATCTATCAAATAACATATTAAGATTTTAACAAGACTAGTTTATGTGAGCATTTATATTTTTGAATTTTGTATTGCAAATACAGTTTGTATCTCATGAAAAACTACAAAAACTGCAAACATATCTAGATTTGTCATTCGTTTTTGATATAAGCCTTATAGAAATTTATATTGCTTCAATATAAATTATACAAAAAAGTTGATGCAAGTAAAATATCCTTTTTAATAAGGAAGTTGCTAATATCTAATAATTCTACAATGAACTATTGATAAAATCTGCATTTAAAGTAAAAAAATATGTGCCAATTTTGACATTTTTATGATGCCCAGAAAATAACAGACGGTAAAGACTCCTGTGGTTCTTTTCAAAAAAAAAACTGATATCTACTGTAATTTTTGTATGAAACCAAAATAGGAAAAAACATGCTTCAACACCACTGTAACACCACTGTCACAGGTTTGGGGAGGGTTGAGCGCTCACAAACATGCTAATCCTTCACATTCTTTATATGCCTGTCCCAAGTCAGGAGCCTGTAGTTCAGTGGTTGTTGTTGGTTCATGTCTGTCATACTTGTTTTTCATAAATTGTTTTATTATTAATTATGCAGTAAGTTTTCCCAATTGAATTGTTTCATATTTTTCATGTCAGGGCCTTTTATAGTCAACAATACGTATGGGTTTTTCTCATTGGTCTAAGGATAATTGCATACATCCACTTCATTGGAACTTTGGTGGATAGTTGTCTCATTGGCAATCATACCACATCTCCTTATTTCTATATTCAAATAATTCTAGCGTCAGATTCATGATCAGGAAAAATGACTTATAGAAAAAGCTATATATCAACTGTACAATGTAAGCACAAGATAAACATACCTTTCTCATCAAAAAAGCAAAACTCTCAGCTGCAAAGTTTCTGATATATTCCCTGTGAGTTCCACTAAGTAGCTCTGAAAAGTACCTGTCAACACAAAGAGGATATATATGTATTGTGTGTGTGTGTGTTGATTTGTAAATAATAACATATATAAGATCAAAAGATAGAAAGCCTGATTAATGTCATTGAATCTTGAGAATGTCATATTCGAAATAAAAAAAAAGATGCTATCAGAGACTAAGTGTTAAAATAGATGATAAATCTGTACAATTTCTTGCTCTAAATGCAGCCTTTTCAAATAAAACACAAAATTTTCACAAAAATATTTTTTTAAATTTTTTTCTCTCTCCAAAATTCTTGTTTTTTAAGTAAAAAAGTGAATACAAATTCTTCATCAATGATTATGTTACACAATTTGCTAGTAAATTGACAAATAATGAAACTAAATTGATTCCCAGATGGTGTAAACACACGTGAAAAATGAATACAGTTGATTATTCTTCTTGCAGATAAAACCCATGACAATTCACTTCACTTAACAAATATAATCAGTACACCTACCCATACACCTGCTGAATATCCTTGACAAGGTATCTCCACAGGTACTTAAACAGGTATGCAAGAGCTGTAAATACTTGTTCCAGTAAGTCAACATCTTGTCCAACCAACAGACCTACCAACAATTTGAAAAACTGGGGAAAATATACTACAAAATCTCTCTGTAGGTCTCTGGATAACTGAACAGTCAGACTGAAATCAGAAAATATTTTTGAAATCAAAATAAAAAATTTTCTTTTGTAATATTATGTAGGTAAGCATGGTAAGTGTAGAACACAATCTATCATCATTTAACATTCACAGATTATATAAATTTGTTTTATTCTCATATATATCTTTGTAAAAGAGAGGACAAAAATACCAAAGAGACATTCAAACTCATAAGTGGTAAATAAACTGACAACACCATGGCAAAAAAAGTATGTTGTTAATGTTGATTGGCTGAAAATAAGGACGAGATCTAAACTTTATCTGTCCTAAAAACTTAAATGAATTGTTAAGGACAGGAGGCAAGCATGTGATCAGTCAGAAGAAAGGGGGCAAGCATGTGATCAGTCAGAAGACAGGAGGCAAGCATGTGATCAGTCAGAAGACATGGGGCAAGCATGTGATCAGTCAGAAGACAGGGGGCAAGCATGTGATCAGTCAGAAGACAGGGGGAAAGCATGTGATCAGTCAGAAGACAGGGGGCAAGCATGTGATCAGTCAGAAGACAGGGGGCAAGCATGTGATCAGTCAGAAGACAGGGGGCAAGCATGTGATCAGTCAGAAGACTCGGACAAGCATGTGATCAGTCAGAAGACAGGAGGCAAGCATGTGATCAGTCAGAAGACAGGGGGCAAGCATGTGATCAGTCAGAAGACAGGGGGCAAGCATGTGATCAGTATGAAGACAGGGGGCAAGCATGTGATGAGTCAGAAGACAGGAGGCAAGCATGTGATCAGTCAGAAGAAAACATTACTGGTATATATTTTTCTTTAATTTATAGTTTAATGTGTGCATTTTTTTTCATTTACAACATTGATTAAGAAATTGAAGCAGCATATAAAACTTGTTTGTTTACTTCATATCAATATATTCCATTAATTCTGTGTTCGACCTATTCTTAAATCTGTGGTCATTTAGTATTTTTTACTCTTCGACACTTGAAACCATTTTTTTTTTTTAAACCCAAAATTTCTGCTTTACTTCACATGCTTAATTATTTTCGTAATTCACTTTCATAGTGAAAACTTTAAAAACTTAAGATTGTTTTTTGAGAATAAAGTCTTATGATTTTTTAAATTTGCAAGTACATACATTTTGTAGTATGATTAGGTTTTAGTACTTCCCTTTGCTCTCACAAAAACTAAGATTACTTGCTTATCAGGGAGTTTTACCCCACTGGGACCAGTCTTAAACTGTGAAAAAAATCTCCAATAAATAAGATTAAGTTTCAGGAATTAAGACTTCTACTTACTCTAAAAGAGCATCTAATGCCAAACTGTTTGGAACCTGCAGATGTTTTGTAAGTCCAGCCACAATATCATCCTGTTATAACAAAGTAAATATCGTGTCATTACAGTGACAGCAAAATTAGGCAAAACACAGTCAAAGCAAATAAGTTGACAATAAAACTGAACTCAATATAAAATTAAATAAATACAATAATTTACATGATAGAAGAATACTGGTTACTGTGGATTTATTATTTTTCTTTGGATACCAATTTTCGTGGATTTCATGGGGACAGGTGAACCACGAATTTAAATGTTAAACGAATTACAAATTTTCCATAGACTTGTATGCAGACTTTAGCAAAACCACGAAATAAAATATCCATGAAAATGTAAGTTTTCCTCAATCCACAAATATTGGTACGCACGGAAATAAATAAATCCACAGTATGTGAAAACTTCAAGTGTATTTTTGAACATGTTGAAAATAGAAACATCTTATTATTGATTTGTTGAGGTTTTGGTGTGCACCATACAAATGCAAATACTTACAGTTCACCTGACTTAGGATACAACTAGAGAATTAAAACAACATTTTTTTTGCAGCAAATCAGTTTAATTTAAATTGAAAGTAGGGTCATGTTTGATGAGGGTTAGGATTATGAAACATAATTCCTAATGGGCATCATATTTCTCTAAAGTTTTTTTGCCTTTGTCCTTTGTAAAAAGTCAGATATTTTCAATAATATTTTTAAGGAACAGATAAGCATAACAATTCACTATAATAGGTTGGTTGCATTTCACCTTTCACATTATATTTTAGAAGTGTGGTTAGTGTGCTCAAAGGTGTTAGATTTCACTTTCACTGTGCATAATGCCCTACATACTTTGTACTTTTTTGGTCGTTTTTTCACTTTTTTGATTCGAACTCACTGATGTGTCTTTTTTAGACGTTTGGCATATAATTTTTAATCCTAGTATCTATGATGAATTTATCTAATGGAATACCATTCATATAAAAATAGATTTGATGTGGTAAACATGTTAGTTTGTATACTTAGTGTTTTCATTGATTACGAATGTTTGACCATTTGCTTTTTATCGTTATATAAAAGTGACGAAGTTTTTGACAGGCTTATCAATTGTGATGATGAACGGTGAACTTCTGGTTATCAGAGCAGGAAAATTGGTGAAATTTGTTTTCTATTACTATACATGCTATAAGGCTCAATTAGTTAATGAGGTTTCACAGGTATTGATATCCACAGAAATATATATGAGGCTCCAGATGACATATAGAACCAAATTATATCTTCCCTTTCCAGTTAAAATTTCATATATTTGCCTTTAAACAGAAATAGTTTTCATAAACTAATCGATAACCTTTATTTCTATTGAGTTATTCTACTAAACTTTACTTCAGCTTGTTAAGAGAGAAATTTTACCAAAACCTCAGACTCTTTGCTATTTCGGTTTTAATATGTCAACACCACTATTTTCCTTATTATTCAATGTAAAAAGAACTTTTATCTTCAATGGTTGATTTTAAACTAAGATGAACAGTGAATTCAAATTTTTTTTTTCAACAATGAGATCACCTATTTGAAAATAAAATAAGTATAGGTTGAATACTCTCAAGCCATCCTCATCTCTTTACTTAGTAAGGTAATATCATGTCAAATGGAAGCTGAGGACATCAACAATAATCCTAACAGGGGATCATAAATGTATTATTTCCCAAAGTTTGGCAGTGACATATCCTTTTCATAAATTGTCTCTAGTTTTTTATTGAAATTATGCCACATTTATCCCTATATTCTAAACTTGGTAAAGGTAGAAGCTGTATACATTACAGATGAATCTGAAAACATTGGCTCTATTTGGTGGAAAAATCAGATACAATTTGGAAGCTCTACACCCTAAAGATGGATATACAAACAAGTTCTAATTAGCACAGTAGTTTTCAGAGGACAAGAGATAAGAAAATGTTGACTAACAACTCAAATGTTTGGACTTTTCCTTCAACTTGAAAACTTTGTGCTGTGTATTTCACATAAAAACAGTACCTGTACTCTTAAACTTGTTATAATTAGATTGTACCTTATGGTGGACAAGTTGTGCAAATGTCTGTACTTGATTAGATATTTCCTTTCTAAAGTCAGCTGTAACAATAAAAAAATATAAGAATATTTGACGAACAATACAAAAGACCTTGTCTACATATATTGAGCTTAAGGTGGTACATAACACAACAGGGAGATAACTCTGTAAAAATCAGCTGAATGTTTTAATAACGTTCTATTGTTAAGGAAATATTAAGCTCCTCAATGATCAAAATTAGTGTTTGTCAAACTCCTATATATCCCATGAAATTTTTCCAATAATAGATAAAGTGTGTGGTTCAAGTTTTTTGAAATTTTTATATTTTTGTCAAAGGGTCAAAGTAAATATGTTGTCAAAACTTTATGAAAATTAAACGAGCCAAATTAATTTTAGTTGGTACCACCTTAAAATATCGAACCATAATAAAGAAGTATTAACTCTATGCTTCTACAGCTAGTGCAGGGAGTTACAAAAGTTATTTAAATAATGGAAGCCCATAATCAGGCCAATTATATTTTAAACAATATTATTGTAAATTAAGATCAAATAAAACAAGCAAATGTTTGTTTGTTGTGCGACTGCAATCTGACTATACAAATTCTGTTTATTAAGGTTTTTATACATAATTACCATAGTGTTTAGTACAATTCAGTTCTGTCCATTTTTCAATGGCTTCTCCAAAATATGTTAAATTCTCCTGTAGAAATAAAAATTCCAATTATTATATGCATGATATATGCATTTACATTTTGATGTCAAGGCCACAGACAAGCAAACACTCAATCTATCACTTTCATTTGAAATGCTTTCAATGATAAAGAATTTGGGACTCCTGTAGATATTTAAAAACATAAATGACAATTGGGATTAATTAGTTAATATTTCTATTAAGAAAAAATTGTTATTACTTTATACAAAACAATGAAAAAATTATGATTTATGACGTTTACAGATTGTTTTCCTTAGTTTTTAATGTGAATTTTGCATTTTGAACAAAATATAAAAAATAAAATGCTGGGTGCAGCTTGATACGACCGCAGAGGTCTACCCTGAACAGTTGGGGCAAGTATGGACACAACATTCAAGCTTGATACAGCACTGAATTTGGATTGTGATTAAATATTTGACACAGCATAGGTTTCTGACACAGAATGAATGTGGTCTAAGAACTTAAAAATTTTTAATTTACCTATTCAAACCATATCATTATTATTTGCTTTTATATATAAATCTGAAATAACCAATTTAAAATGGAAAATTTTAAAGAAAAAAAAGGAAAAAAAGGAAAACAAAATCCCTCCCCCAAATTTTTTGAACCCCCTTATGATTCATCACTCCCAAACTCAATCCCAGCCTTCCCTTTGTGGTATGGTACCTTGCAGTACAATTTCAGAGAGAGATCCATACACTTGAACACAAGTTATTGTCTGGAAACTAGAAAAATGCTTGTTTTTTGCCCCTTTTTGGCCCCAAATTCCTAAACGTTTAGTGCAATTACCCCCAAACTCATACCCAGCTTTCCCTTTGTGATATGGAACCTTGTAGTACAATTTCATAAAGATCAATACACTTACACACAAGTTATTGTCCTGAAACTAGAAAAATGCTTGTTTTTTGCCCCTTTTTGGCCCCTAATTCCTAAAATTTTGAGGCAATTACCCCCAAAATCAATCCCAGCCTTCCACTTGTGGTATGGTACCTTGCAGTACAATTCAGAGAGATCCATACACTTGAACACAAGTTATTGTCTGGAAACTAGAAAAATGCTTATTTTTGGCCCCTTTTACCTAAACGTTTTGGGCAATTACCCCCAAACTCAATTCCAGCTCTCCCTTTGTGATATGGAACCTTGTAGTACAATTTCATAAAGTGCCATACACTTACACACAAATTATTGTCATGAAACTAGAAAAATGCTTGTTTTTTGCCCCTTTTTTGGCCCCTAATTCCTAAAATTTTGAGACAATTACCCCCAAAATCAATCCCAGCATTCCCTTAGTGCTATAGAACCGTGTGGTACAATGTCAGAGAGATCCATACACTAACACACAAGTTATGTCTGGAAGTTACAAAAATGCTTATTTTTGGCCCCTTTTTGGCCCCTAATTCCTTAACTGTTGGTACCATAACCCCCAAAATCAATCCCAACTTTCCTTTTGTGGTATTGAACCTTAATAGTCCTTATGGTAAAATTTCATAGAGATCCATTCACTTAAACTAAAGTTAGAGTGCGAAAACCAATGTGTCTTCGGACGACGACGACGACGCCAACGTCATACCAATATACAACCACAAAATTTTTTTGCGGTCGTATAATAAAATGAGTAGGCTTTTCACTCATGAAAGGCCTTAGTGCATGATTCCAACGTTGAGTGTTACATGTGCTTAATTTAGCCAAGTATAACTTTTTTGGACCTTGTACGGTCAGTAATGAGAATAACAAACCTCTGGTGTATCATCATGATGAACAACTCTGTGGATAACATCTATGTCAACTTTGGCTATCCTCTCTGAAAATGTCTGAAACTAGAAACAACAATAAAGAGGATTAACATTTTTATTAAGGGATCTTCATGAATAAAAAGTTTAACCATGGAGGAAACTTACACCTGAACAATAAAACACCATGAGATGCAATCAAGTTTGATGTTATGAATAGTGAATAGTAGTGTAGGGAATTTGCTGCAATGTTATAATCAATTAATGGAAATAATCAGACAGGTTTCATTTTTGATTATAATTACATAAGACAGTTTTGAAATTATATGCAAATTATGTAGGAATTTACTAACACCTTAGTGCATACAATACTTGTGCATGTCGTAAAAAGAGTGTATATGTACAAAATGGATATATTATCATTGTTTTAAGACATTCCTTACATTTACAAGGATTTCCGAAAGTTTCTGTAAAAAATTAAAAAAATTTATAGATATCTTTTACAATGTACATTGTACAGTGTACATTTACCATTATCAAAAATTATAATTGATAAATATAGAATTTTCAACAATTGATTGATTTTTAATTATAAAAGATAATCGGAACATCATTTCTTTAGACTGAATACTCAATAGGCTGATATTATTCATAATACACTTTTAATTATAGAATAATCAGCTGTTCTCTTAAAGTCAATCTTTTTCTCCTGTGAGTCTCTAGGTCAAGACCATTAAGACAGGCCATAATCTTGCCTGCCAAATGACGATTTAAGTTGCCAAAAAAATTTGAAAATCTCTTCGGCCGACTGACTTCTTTGAGGAGTTAAGTCCCTATCAAAATCAGTATACGGGAGACAACTTGTGATTTACACAAGTCCCACAGGTCAACAAAAATAGTGACTGACAAGGAAAATCAAGATTTTCAAAACGACCAAGAACTCATACTGTTAAATGAAATAAATACAACAATGACTTTGAACATTCATGGATTTAACATTCAAAACTATTTAGACAGGAAAGCGAGCAACTATTTGAGTTATCATTTTACGATGATTTTTGTAATGAGGATGCTGAATAATCACTCAGCTGATTTGTTCAAATTTTAATTATTATGAGTCAACCAAATGTACTATTCAAGGGTGGGAATTAACGGGTGAATTTTTGCTATTCATTGAATAAAAAATATTATGAATGTAAACAGTCAGGGGACTTACTTAAATGAGTGATTTTCTAAATCATTGATTCAGGTAACATTATGTGCATAAAGGTTGGAAGTAAGAGTTGTCTTTCTTTAATAATCACCTATTTAAGTAGTACAAATTAATCACTAGACTAAGTAATTTAATTTTATTGTAGCTTTAAATATAGAATACTAATGATCCAGTGACTAATTATGTTGCTAAAATTATCAGAACCAACATCTGTGTTGATAGGATGACCGGGTTATGTCAGGTGATGACCTTGTACGAAATCTAGGATAATGACATAAAAATCACTTGTTTAAGTATCATACCTCAATTTCCTTCCAAAAAATCACTTCTGTAAGTATCATTATTTTAATAACCCCACTAATTTCAACACCCCCAAATAGTGAAATTTTGATGGCGAACAGTCGAATTTTATTACATAATCTATAAGATGAAACCTTGAATTTTACAGGAAAAATACTCCCACTGCTGGGAAAAATCTGTTAAGAAAGTATCAGTTCATTATGTAAAGCCATTTTTATAGCATTTTTTCAACTAAAATAGAATTTGCAGCTAATTGATTGCATCAAAGGCATAAACCTTGCTGTTTAAAAGAAGCAAAAAGTTCATTTTCTTTCAATTTTACTAATGAAAAGATATTATCTAAACCTATGTGTTTAAAATTTTGGTAAAACTACAAAATCACAATTTGTGACAAAACTTCGAATTTGCTACCTAAATAAGTCCCCTGACTGATGGATAATTTGATTGCAAATGTTTGACACGTGGTCAGCTTGTGATTAGCAGCTAGTTTTGTTTCCAAGACCATCTTGTTAATAAGAGAGATATCTTTTATAAAAAAAAAAACGTTTTCTCTTTATTAGTTAACTACATGTAATATGGGACTGGCAGATATCTTCATTTAAAGGCCTATAATCATCCACGAGAATCTCAAGTTACAACTGACATATCCTGGACATTCAATATGTATTACCAAATTATAACAATGTCAAATAGTGATATAAATTGAATTTCCCAATCATTCTCAAACAGTTTTTAAACTTTTTGATAAATAAAAAAACAAGTCACAAAATACAAACTGAGAGCAATTTTTTTGTAGACTTCTAAAATTAATTGAGGTAGATGCACATGAGACTGATGTATGATATACTTGCAACAAAATTGATTTAACCTCAAATTCAAATTGACATTACAAATTAGGAAGCAGGACAAATCGCCCCACTGGCTAATCGCCCCACACCAAATCGCCCCACTTTTTCACCAACTCGCCCCACTTTTAAAAAAAATCGCCCCAAACTGGTTTACCAACTCGCCTCACTTTTAAAAAAATCGCCCCACTTGTGAAAAGGTTAAATCCCATTAATTTTTTTCCTGCCAACTCGCCCCACTTTATGATAAAAGGTAAAATCTAGATGAATATATAATTTTCAGGTCTGCCAACTCACCTCACTAAAATGAAAACTAATCTGCATTACAGTTTAATTCTTTTATTCATAAGTGGGGCTAGTTGGTAGGCTTTAATTACATACTTTTATTTATCAGTGGGGTGAGTTGGCAGACATAAATTCAACGGCATTACTTCCTTTTTCATAAGTGGAGCGAGTTGGCATGACTCAATTCATCAGGATTTTTCTATTTTTCATAAGTGGGGTGATTTGGCATGACTCAATTCATCAGGATTTTTCTATTTTTCACAAGTGAGACTAGTTGGCATTCAAGTCGCAGAAATACTGATACTCACTTCTTTCTGCTTTATTTCAACAAAAAGAAAGAACTACAAAAACATGTTTATCTAGGGTTTTTATAGGTATTGATTTTATTCATAAGTGGGGCAGGAACATAGATATACAACGGGATTGTATCATTTTTCATAAGTGGGGCGAGTTGGCATTACTGAATTCATCGTGGTTTATCTATTTGTCATGAGTGGGGCGAGTTGGCAGACTTTATTTCAGCGGGATTTTTACCCTTTTTATAAGTGGGGCAAGTTATCCAACCTATTTTCAATGGGATTTTACCCTTTTTTATAAGTGGGGCGAGTTGGTAAACAAGAGTGGAGCGATTTTTTAGAAAGTGGGGCGAGTTGGTGAAAAAGTGGGTCGATTAGGTGTGGGGCGATTTGCCAGTGGGGCGATTTGTCATGGATTCACAAATTATATGAATAAATAAATAACAACTACATAGTCTTATTTTATAAGAGTTTTCAATACACATGATACATACAGTAACATATAAAAACACTGCAGGTATATTTTTTATTGCATATACAAAACAATTTCCATAATGTATATGTCATAGATAAGCATGAAAACACAATGCAACCGAAACAATAATGGAATTTCACTTCTCCTTCCCCAAAATCCTAGATAAGGCCCTGATTAAGATTTATTAGATTTGTTTTACTCTCCAAGTTAAATCACTGTTCTCCCCAGATCCATTTGATAATGTAGTCTCACAGTGCCTTCATAGTATATACCTCATGACCGAAAAATTAAGATTTTTTGCACTGAAAATTTGTATCCCATTATTATGACCCAATAAATTTTGATTATAGATAATCCCCATCCTGTTAGATTGCTTTGGGAGTTCTTTTATGGGATTAAAGATTGTTTAGTTGTAATTAATAAAGAACCCATGCTGATTCATGACTTACTAAATGTAAATAAATTGTACATAAAATGAATTAAATATTTTCTATTTACACAGGTTTGTTTGTGTGAATAATTATTTTCGTGGTGTAAACACAGCAATTTTTCTCAAATAGGTAAAAGAATTCAGTAGATTTTTCAAAAATATATCGGCGGTTACCTTAAATTTATTTTCTGTTTGATGATGTGATGATTTCCCCATCTTAACCTGCTTTTTTAGTAAATATTTATGACAAATATTTTAAGCGTGTAAACTCATGGAGGCAGCCATTTTTTTGGCGTCAATAAAAGTTTGGTCAGTACGGACACGTAATGAGCAAAAAACCGGAAACTAGGAGAAACTAATATAAATACGACAGCAACAAACTCCAACATATAATAAAAATGATAAAAACGCTACATCACGACATTCACTGCTTTACTGTGGACCAAACATAGTTGTTAATGACATCACTAATAGATAGATTTGCAATATCTTAGCAGGTAAACGGCATATATATACTCGGAGTATATGGCTATTGGCACTATTGCTGATTTGAAACTGGCATAAACCGAAATTCACCATAGAATATCATTTCCTGAAAGAAAAATGCTACTATTTCACTCCAAAAGGCATTGGATACTATGGTACAAAATATATACAATTGGGTTGGATTACATTTCTACTTATTCTGACAAGCTCGGTATAAACAAAATTCAAAGAAAAACGTGTAATTATCAAATAACCAATACCAAAATATAAAAAAAAATATGCTTATACACCAGGAAATATTGAAGAATTGGCAAATAGTTCATGTATATTCAGGACGAGAAAAAAAATAATAACAATAAGTCCAATTGTTACGATTTTCAAAGCGGGCACAATTGAATGGGGACGGAGAAGTAAGCCGACTGCCCCTGTAAAAAAGGGATATGTTGGACAGTGGACAGTTTGCCTTGCAAGCGGCCACCTTGAAAAGTTTTTACAAGGGCTCTTTAACGTATTGATACCAGACACTTTCCCAAAACGAGTCACAAAATTTAACGCTTGTTTCCCCTATATTCCAGTGAACACGACATTAAGAATACAACAGCCGGAATAAACATAACATTTTTTTAGCTGGAAAAAATTGAATTGATAATCCAGAACCTAACTTACATGCAGCAATATTTAAATAGCAATATTTGCTTTGCTTTGGATCAATCATTCAAATGATACGATTTTAAATTCTTCAATACGCACTAGCTAAAATTGTGAAAAATAAGAAGAGATGTGATAGTATAAAGCAGAAGAGCAACTAGAAGTTGACGTGTTTAGTAGAGAGAAAAAACTATTAGAAGGTAGGAAGATACAAAAAGAATTAGGGGTCATGCACAAAACGCCATACGTATATTTAAATATTCCATAAAATGCTCCTGCCAAAAAGCCATTGAATTAAAACAAATGGTTAGTCTAAAGATAGGAAAATGTTATCTGAAGACTTTGTTTTTTTTATAATATATATTATAAAGCACGAACTGATTTTAAAAGCTAACCTTTCTGAGCATTTAAGTAGATTATAATATATATAGATTTCAACTTAATATTTTACTTCTTAAGCGACAAATTATAAAAAGATGAATTGAGAGCAGAAATTCTATAAATTTCGTAACTGTCAAATACAACAGGCTAAAGATAGATTCAGAAAACAATATCTTTTGCAAGTATATGTGACAATGTGGAGACCAAATCTACTTTCGGTAAAATAGTGAAAATATATCAAGAGGACAATTAAAAAATGATAAGTCGATTGATTGATTGATTGATTGATTGATTGCGTTTTGCTTAATGTTCAGTGGCAAATAGTTCATGTATATTCAGGACGAGAAAAAAATAACAATAAGTCCAATTGTTACGATTTTCAAGGCACAATTGAATGAGCACGGAAAATTAAGACTGCCTCTGTAAAAAAGGGATATGTTGGACAGTGGCAGAAATTTTGCCTTGCAAGCGGCCACCATGAAAAGTTGTTACAAGGGCTCTTTAACGTATTGAGACCAGACACTTTCCCAAAACGAGTCACAAAATTCAACGCTTGTGTCTCCTATAATCCAGTTAACACGACATTAAGAATACAACCGAAGCTAGAAATTGACATAAATAGTTTTCAAATTGGGGTCAATGACAAACTTGACGATGCAGTTTTACCTTTGCCAACTCCCATTTACCAGTAGTAACACCCTTTGTACAATCGTTTTGCGTTTTCATATCTCAATTCATACGTTAGACGCTTGCATATTGACATTATACGGACTTCATTAATAGAATGGTTCCTTACGAAAAAAATAACACACCAGTAGGGTTATGGAAAGAGCGACTGAAATCGGCACGTCACAAGTTTTACTATCACATATCAGTTGATCGATACGACGTGTCTGTATGTCAACTATCGAGACACATGTTATCTATGTCGTAGATCTTTAGACAACAGTATAGTCTCCTGGTCTGTGTCCTATTGGTCATATCGTGATTTTTTTTAGCGAGTCTGGATTCGTCATGCGGTTGATGCATACACATTAGGAGATGTTTACACATTCGACGTACTCTCTCGAATGTCAAATTTAACGATCACAAACCAGGAGCCTATAATCCAGTGGTTGTTGTTTTATGCAGTCTACCATAATTGTTTTTGTTTGTTTATTGTTGTAGTATAAACTGCTGTTTTTGTCCTTTAATTTGTCTCCCGACCCTTCAAGTTGTGTACAAAACCATACGGTATGGGGTTTGATCATGAATGAAAAGAAGCTAGCATTATCCTTTAACTTCACGTTCCGCTTTACAGATGATGTCCTCTCACCAAGTATTTTAAAGTTTGGTGACTATGTTGAACGCATTTATCCCATCGAACTTGAAATAAAGTATACAAAAGATACAGTCAAGTCTTCTTCATACCTTGACTTACATCTAGAAATTGACATTGAGGGTCGTTTGAGAACAACACTTTACGATAAAAGGGATGATGTCAGTGGGCTTGATTTGATCAACATAGTAACACAATTTTGAATTATTAAATGTGAGAACAGTATCTACGTACCGAATCGTACAATATGTTAAAGGATTATATTACCATAGTATCACGCTTCTATAGAATCCCTGTCTGAAATCTATACGAATACATGAGCAGTTAAAGGCAACAATAGTTTGCCGATGTTCAAATGTCATAAATCTACGAAGAAATTACAAATCAAGGTAAAAAACCCATAGGGAATCGCAAGAACTCCTAAAAGATCGAGACCGACTGAGTCGTCAGAATATGCGTGTTTTTCGACCAACCATCGTTATTCCTATGGGAAACAACTGTGCTCCTCTTCTTGCCGACTTGTTCCTTTATTCATATGAGGCTGACTTCATGCAGGAAAATATTAGGAAGAAAGAAAAGAAGTTAGCAGTATCCCTTAACTTTACTTTCCACTATAAAGATGATGTTCTCTCACTAAATAATTAAAAATTTGGTGATTATATTGAACGCATCTATCCCATCGAACTTGAGATAAAGGATACAGATACAGTTAAGTCTGCCAGCCTCACATCGTGACATACATCTAGAAATGTTTAGCCATGGCGTTGTCAGTTTTTTTTCGACTAATGAGTTTGAATGTCCCTTTGGTATTTTTCGCCTCTCTTTTAAGACCGCGAGAACATGTCGCTAGTGAGTTGAGACAGTAAAACATCAAATAGGTTGATCCCTGTTAATGAAGTCCGTATATCGTGAACATGCACGAGCGTAACGTATAAGTTCAGATATGTATACACTATACGATGGAGCAGAGGGTATGTTACTGCTAGTCGGAAAGAAGAGGAGGACAGTGAGTTTCACTAAGATACCGACCGTCTTATGAAATTTAAGTCCGTCAAACGTATAAAAGATCGGTTTAGAGAACTTTTTGTTGGGACCAGAGTTTAAAATGTTTTAAAGATAAGAATGATGGGGTGTATTAGTTCAAAGGGTGGATATTAAAAAAAAAACATTGCTCGAGGAGAGGGTTTTTATTGAATGTCCACCAATACATATTTTGAAAATTATTTTAGTGTCTACATCAATTTCACACCCCTCTAAGCCATGAGACAACAAATCAATATTCAGGGAAGTATTCCATACTACTAGTATATACTGAATTTAAAGATTTAAAGGGTACTGTGAAACTACTTTCTTCAAAGGATGGTATGAATAAGATGTGGATGCTCAATGACTTAAGGAGTACGAACATCTATGTCCATTCCTCGTGCATATTGACATTATACGGACTTCATTAATAGAATGGTTCCTTACGAAAAAAATAACACACCAGTAGGTGTAAAGAGTTCTGCTAAATTTAAAGACAGGTTGAAAGATTTCGTCATTGAAATAAATATTTTGTTTAAAGAAATGTCAAATCGTACACATTAAAATTAACTCTGATTCGAAAATTTCTCTGAAACTGACATACTCTAGGAGCTGGATTTTTTAAAGGACAGCATAGTTTGGTGGACATGCCTTTTCCAACGGACAGCCGGTATTCCTCTTGTACAAACTGTGCATTTAGTCTAACCGACGTCTTTAACACAACGTTCTGCTATATCGACGGTGCCCTTTCATTTATTAATCAAGTTTCGTGACTGTTGATCGCATTTATCCTATTGAAATTGAAACTAAGGATACCACAAGCACAGGTACAGCTGCTTCATATCTTGATTTACATATCGAAATTGACTGTGATGCTCGGTTAAGAACTAAACTTTACGACTAAAAGATGACTTCAATTTCCCCATCGTAAACTTCCCATTCTTATGTATCAACTTTCTAGGAGTTCGCCCAATATAAGGGTTCATATCTTTCATTTGATACGATATTGCAAGACATCTTTGATAGAAGTTTTGTGCTTACATGGAAGCTTTTGAACGAATGCTTCCTCTGGTGAAGTTAAAGTGATCTCTTATTTTTTTTTAAGTTCATGATTATGGGATATTTGTGTCGTGCAGATGACGTTTGTCTTGTCGTAGCCTATTTTTACATGACAGGTTTTAAGCCTACTTACCATTTCGGATCTGTGGGTTTGTGTTGCTCAATTATAAGTTTTATTTATTGTGGTTTATGGACTTAAGTTTGTGTTTTCGACTTTTTCTGATGGTGTTGTCTGTCTGTTTTCGACTTCTGTTTTTTATTTATATTTATATTGCTCTGGGGGTGGGGTAGGTGGCGGGGACAGGGTATGATAATAAACTCAGGTGTCGCCTCTTTATTTTTTGTCTATTTTTTACTTTCAATTATTGTGGATGAAAATTTCAGCAATACATGAAAATGGTAAACACTTCTCAAGATGATACTATATACTAGTGCTTACATATTTGTTCATGGTTCTTTGATAGAGATACTTGCAGTTTACAAGCATCCTATTGAAGCAAGGGTTCTTAATGGTCAAGTTGTCGTAGCACTTACGATCATCCCAAATTCTTCAATGGGCTCATAGCGGTTTTTTTTGTGTGTTTTTGTGTTATTGCATTGTTAAATATCTGTGTTGATTCTAACGGAAAAGATCTAGATAATCTGTGTTTCAATTCTAAACTCTCAAGTTCGGTCATTATTTGGGTTATATCATTTGTAAATATGCTATTGTCTATTGTTTTTGAATTAGGAAAGACACATAAACAACATATACAGTTGAGTCTGCATCACATATTGACTTCCATCTAGAAATTTACAATGAGGGCCGGTTGAGATCACGTTATTACAAATAGGATGGTTTTAGCTACCCAATTGTGAACAATCCATTTCTATATAGCAACATTTCAGCAGAGCTAGCATATGCAGTATATATCTCCCAATTGATACAATATTCCAGAAGTTGCATTTCCTATCACGATTTTTTTGATAACGTGTCGCTGCTTACAAGGCAACTTTTGGATCAAGGGTTCCGAATGATAAAGTTGAAGTTTTACGGATGCCATCACGATTTGGTTGACTTTAAGGAATATCTATATCACAGCAGGATCTGCTTACTCTTCAAGAGCACCTGAAGTGACCTCCAGTTTTTGGTTGGATTCATGTCTTTAATTTTTTGGTTAGTGTTTAGGGATCTGTTTTTGTTTTTTTCGTCGTCTTTCGTTTTATTCCATGGTGTTGTGAGTTTCACTTCGAGTGTTTCATCTTTTTTTACCAATCAGCTATTGCGTGATGCCTTGTCAACGGAATTGATTCATCAACACAGGCACTTGTCTCTGAAATTTCCCCCTATATACCTTAAGTTATATTAAGGTATATAGGAGGAAAAAAAATTCAGAGACACATGCCTGTGTACGTGAACAGGGTTAAAGGGACATTAGCTACGAAATATAAGAAATTAAAGTATGATTTTTTTTGGTTCAATCATTAATTAAAGTGAAATAATGAAATAATAATTCGCCTTTAGCAACCAGTTTGGTTCAATTTTGTCAAAATAAGCTTAAAACATCAATAATGAATAATTCACTTGCAAGTGAATAGTTCGACCTCATTGAATCCGTATTCATGTGACCTTCTATTTAAACCCTTAGCTAGAGATAGGTTACGCATAAACTAGGCGTGTTCAGCTATTAAAAGGAAAAGAATGTCAACATTGAAAGTGAAACAAGGATAAACCAATTGGTTGACTGATTCGATTCACAAAAACTCATTCTTATACAGGTAAAGTCGGCATTCTTCGGTGGTCACCTCGATGGTTAATTAGATGGCGTCTAGACTAAAATACACACGAAATGTGGATACATCTTATCGAGCCCATGCATCGTAAATTGTTTGTTTTATACTTTTTAGAATTTGGATATACGTTTTAGTATGTTATAAATCAAATATGAGAATTGAGTCAAATCAGTGAACATAAATTTGACAGCTAATGCCCCTTTAAGCGACGGGTGTCACTTTTAGAACAGGAACCTCTGACTAATTCGGATGACCTGAATTGACCCAATATTTTGGTTTGGATATGTGTTTCTTTATGTTTAATTTATATGTGTAGTGTTTGTGGACTTTTTGTTGTTGTCTTCTCCTCTTGTCATGGAAAAAGCTTTTGGTGAAAATTATTTTTTTTATTCTTGATTTTCACAATGCTTATATAATTTCTGTTTTTGGTTTTACAGTTTAAGTGGTTCATAAATGTTCAATTTCAGACAGTTTGCATTAGAAAAATGCCAACAAAGGTCTCAATGCTATCAACTTGGGCAATATCATTCATCATAAATCAGTTTACTCGAAAATACCTACTTACTTCAAAGATCAGTCTGTACCTATCATCTCTTATACTTATACCAAACCAATTGCAACTAGATTTTAAAAACACGTGTTGTAGAATCTCAATATTGACGACTTCAAGTCTTAACCTCTTGATTGCATCCGTGCTAGCTTTCTATTCATTTATTACTGGTGACCTGAACATTGTCAAGAACTTATTTGCGAAATGTGTTTTCCAAAGGCCCGAAATATCGTGAGCCTAAATCCATCAATTGGAAACACTTTAAAATACTGATGGATTCAGTCGAGAATTATGTCAGGCAGTGGGCTAAACGCGATAAAAGACCTATATACTAGTACTCTTTCATATGAGGCTGACTTCATACAGCAGCTTCTTAGGCAGAATGAAAAGAAACTAGCATAATCCTTTAACCTCACCTTCCGTTATATATATATATATGATGTCCACTCACTAAATAATTCAATATTGGTGTCTACGTTGAACTCAGCTATCCAATCGATGATGGTGATGGATGGCTGCTTAACGTCCAGCGGTAAATTGATTTGCATATTCAGGACGAGAACATGTTAATGTAATATGAATATTAACCCTGCTTTGGACTTGCCGACACGCCGAGCCGGATTTTTAACGTGCAAGTTCACAAGTTAACAGTCCTCAGGAAGACATGTCACCTTACCCGGACACATTATTCCGACTCCGAGCCGACCAGTCTTTACTTTTACTCCTTAATGCCGCGTGCTAAGCGGAGAAGCAGCAAATACCAATTGTAAAGTCTTTGGTTTGACCCGGCCGGGATTCGAACCCATGACCTCCCGCACTCGAGGCGAACACACTATCACGAGACCACCGAGGCGGTCTCTATCCCATCGAAGTTGAAATTAAGGACACAAAAGATAGTTAAGTTTGCCACATATCTTGACCTACATCCAGAAATTGACAATAAGGGTCGGTTGAGAGCAATACTTAACGACAGAAGGAATGATTTCAGCTTTCCAATTGTAAACTTTCCATTTCTATGTAGCAACATTTCGCCTGCATATGGAGTATATATCTCCAAGTTGAAAAGATATTCCAGAGCAAACATTTCCTATCATGATTTTCTTGATATAGAATTGCTGATTACAAGGAAGCTTTTGAACTAAGAGTTCTAAGTAGTGAAGTTGAAATCATCCCTTTTTTACTGACGCCACCACGAGTTGGTTGACCGTTATGGAATATCTGTTTCACAGATGACAACGGATATGTTCTAGTTGTCGTAACCACAATCTAGTCCTCCTTTCCTCGAATGTGATCTAACGAATTAGCACCTGGTAGGGTTCGCGTTATTCTTTTTTTGCCATGGCTTTGCCAGTTTGTTTTCGACTTATAAGTATGAATATCTGTTTGATATCTTTCGCCTCTCTTTTTCAGATACAATGTGTAATGAAAGAAAAGTACACTATTCGAATTTTTATTTTCAACAAAAGACAATCTACTTTACTTACAACTTTGCAATCTAGAGCAATTGTTCAATCAATAAAAAGTACTTGTTAATTATCTTGCCAGTTACGCGACAGTGGAAAATGCAAATTCAGCACCTAAAAAAGAGATCAAACTAAAGCACAAAAAAGTTTGTTAAATTGATGTGGCTTGACAGCAATTTTGCACCATACTATTTAAAAGCGCACCATTGATTTTTTTTGTAAATATACAAATACAGCTTATTCAAATTTAGTGGTAAAAACGAGAAAAGGGAAAATTCAATAAATGAAATTATTTAACATTTTCATTGGAAGGAGGTAATATTCTAATGTGTACTTATTATAACTAAATACAGTCACAAAACATATGATATGAAAAAAAAAATGAAAATCGTATCTCTATTGCACAATAATATATAAAGGTAAATGTATGATGAAAATAAGTGTACAACATGGTATTGAAGTATTTGTTGTGTACATGTTTTAAGATTTAGGTACTATTATGTCACATTGACATATTTTTGCTTGAAATGGATGGTAATCGTGAACAATACTTCAAATCATGTAAATCTTGCAAAAGGATTTTTTCAAAATTTTGAAAATTAAAAAAAATTTGGCGACAAAACAATAATGCACATTGAACAGATGATTTCCATATTAAAGCAAATTCTCGAATTTTTAATTCATATACAGAATTATTGCTTAAACATTGGAAAAATTAGTTAGTATCTCTCAAAACTTGATTTTTTTTTAAATTTGAATATGAAAATGAAGTCGTTAGCTAGTTTAACTTTCTTTCTATAATTTAACCTCTCATACGATGAACAATTTGATCCCATATTCTAGTTGAATGCAATACGGCAACACAATTATATTAATCGGAAGCAACGTTCAGACTATTTATGATGTCAAAATGTAATCATATTTATATAGAATCAGTAATTTGATATCTTATGGAGAGAAACACCGGAGAAAACCTTTTCTAAACACGTTTTCACAAATTTTCATCCCTCCAAATAAAAAATGTCATGCAATAACCACTTAGTTTTAGATATCGTACAAAGAAAACGTTGAAAAATTAAGCTGATAAATAAAATCTTATTGTGAATATTAAGTAATATCGACAAGAGTTACTTTTCTTCGAACTTTTTTTAGCTGTATGGAATATTTATAGTGGAATGCATATGAATAAGGAAAATTGATAAATTTGATAAAAAATTATTATAAAAAATAAGAAGAAAAAAAAACAATAATTAAGGAAAAAAATGATAAAAAGTGTAAATGATAATTCACTGGAATGAAAAGTCATCACATTTTCATAAAGTAGATATTTTCTTTGCACTATACTGCCAGCTGATGCAAGACATATATAACTGACGGAATTAATAGATTCAGTTATTTACAATTCTCCCTTTCATCTATATCATATAAGCCATAACAAAATAAGAATGAACAAATATGTACAATGTTATACAAATACTATACAACATATCACAAAACTTAACAATGCAATATTTTGTATACTACAAACGGGCCATTTTTAGCAGTAAAGAAAAGACCATGTATGAACAATAATAAATTTTAATTATCGTTTAATATTTGCACCATTGACTTTTTTCAAGATATCTCATTTTTATCTGATCTGTTTTTTTTTATTCTACATAGACAGAACTATTTTTTGTTTTTTTTTCAACGAGAAAATAAAATAATCAATATAATAGTAAATTTTAAGTATATAATCAAAAACCTAGCATCCAATTTTTTATTCTATGAAAAGCATGCTCTGTTGATACCATTGTGATGTTTTTTAGAGAGATATTTGTCGCTGAATAATAATGGACAAACCTAGAAATACAACATCAATATTTAATAGAACAAACATAACAATTGAAAAAGAAAAAAAAATGTGGCCGTGTTTCACATATTTTCGTACACCTAAAAACTCAATTTCTTCGGTACAATTTTCTTTAAGGTATTTTCTCACTTGTATGGTACCCATTAATATTTTCAATTTTAAAGAATGAGATTCTGATGCCCACAGATATGTATCTAACTACACTTTGTTATTTCGGGCATGTTGCATCAAATTACCCGTTTTAAGCATACAATTGTAACAGCACATTAAATATTGGACAGGCACCTTGAAGCAATAAATAAATTCAAAATGAACTTGTCTTTGTACAATTAACACTTTGTTCTTGGTATGAACAATAATTTAAAAATAAATTATCACAAAATATTTCCAAATGTTTACAATGTATTGTTTCATACTCTATACAGGACACTTTTATCAAAAAATTGTGTTCCAATATTATATAACGCATCAGCGTACCAGTGGACACCCTCAGAATCACTGTCTATTGCGTATGGATATGATATGTATTGCAGTATCCAGTGTACCGCTCTAACGGGGGCAAAAGCCGCATGCGCTATAACTTCATTATTTATGACACCGTAACAGGAAGTGAGTACACCGTCAACAACAATATTACCCTCTATCGTCAGTGGGGCGTACACTCCACTTGAAGTCTTTTTTGTTAATGCAACAACTTTTGACGGTCTAAAATTGTTTGCACTGTTCGAAACTAACACAAATTGGCCCACTTGAACCTCTTCGGCATATGTCGATGAAAAGTCATCTGAATAGTTTGTTTTTGATACGTATATTAAATGCTTGTCTGTGATTTCAAGTGAAAAATGATCCTCTGTTTCAATATGAATAAATGTGGCCTGCTTATGACTGTTTTTATCAAGAAACATGATGACCTCACTAAAAACTGGAACCCCATCAACTTTTTGACTTAACACTCTTTCTCCTGTATGTAGGTCTTTCATTTGAATATATCCTCTTGTTTCTGACTGTATAGAAGATTCGCCACTGAAACATCCTCCAATGTTATTTGCAGCGGACGATTCTGTAGATAGAAAAAATAAACCAGATGTCTACAAATGTAAAATGAAATGGCTACCAAAGTGATAAATAATGTCTTTTTTTTATTAACACAAAATCAAGCATTTCTATTTTTAAGGTTTAATTTCTATATTAGAAGTTACTAATCAACCAAAGTAGATCAAAACTTTCAACGACTTTATTATTTGTTCGTAAAGGTGATGATTCTAAGCCTTTTACGCAACCAAACATTTCCATCGTATATATAAAATTGCTTTTTCATTGTAATACTTGGCCAGCGAGATAAAGTATCACTCATACGTTAGAGTAGGTGCTTTAACCGCTGGACTTTATCGCTATGTTATGTCACTGTTATTTCAAAGTTTGTATAAATTTGGTCCGTACTTGATTTATTTTTTAAGTGGCAAAACTATGTACAAAATTCTTCAAGTCTGGAGTGTTTTAAAATGATTGTTTGCATTGTCATGTTGACTCTGCATAAAAAAAATTCCGTATCCTAATTATAGTAAAACTGTGTTGATTCTTTCTAAAATAGAATACCCTAATGCTCTTTTAATATTTATATATTACTAAATGACAAAGTAAAGAATTTAGCAAACAAAATTTATTGCACATTATTATAATTATATAGTTTTATTATGGTCCATGTCTGAAAAGGTTGATTTAGCCGATATGGTACCGTTGAAAATCAGCTTCACGCTCTTGCAACCTAAATGAATGTTCAGTAGATCAAAATCTTATAAAAAATAAGTTAACGGCACAGAAAATATTTTCAAAGATACGTTTCCATTTATCAATGAATTATTTTATGTCGCGATAATTACCATTCAATTATTATACTGAATCCGAGATTTGAAATTAAATTGAGAATGTAAATGGGGAATGTGTCAAAGAGACAACAACCCGACCAAAGATCACAAAAAAGCCCAAGGCCACCAATGGGTTTTCAACACAGCGAGAAAATATGAGAAAAAAAAGCGGGCTTCAGCTGGCCCCTAAATGTTTGATGCAGACCGGTTGAGACAATTCAAAAATGACAAGAATGTGATTTTGCATTGAATTCAATGGAAACTTATTTTATGTGAAAAAACACACCAAAGTTCATCCCCGGGGTTAAGGTTGAGTTCTTGTTACTAAATCTTTATTTTTCAGTGTAGAGTTTTGTGTATATTGTTTATACCATCCCCGGGGTTTAGGTTGAGTTCTTTAGTTTTCAGTGTAGAGTTTTGTGTATATTGTTTATACCATCCCCGGGGTTTAGGTTGAGTTCTTTAGTTTTCAGTGTAGAGTTTTGTGTATATTGTTTGTCTTTTGACCATGTTATTGTTTGTCTTCTTCGACAAGGTTTATGATTACCTATATGGTATTTTCTCTCGTTTTCAATGCAACATCATTGCTACCATGTGATAAAACTGATTGGTAAGAAATTAAAACAAATATGCTGCATAAGGGACTTATAAACATCGAATAGATCAAGTTTGGAAATATTTGACTCCATATTACTTGAAATAAGAACATAGGCAAAAGTTAACCTTACACGGATTCGCCACACTTCATGTTAACTTTGTACAGCCATACCTGAAGTTAAACACTTGTAATCAGAAAAGATTTATCATTATCGTTTCCTACGTAAGCAGAAATCAATTGAAAGTAATATAATTGTTATGTAATAATCTGGCTCAAACAAAAAGAACAAAGGTTGATAAAGTCCTTTTAAAACCTGTGCTGTAATACAACCAAGCCAATGCAATGAATCGTGTAGACTGTGATTATAAGTATGTTTGTATGAAGGCATACTACAGAAGAAATTAATCTGAATATTACGACCAGTAGTGCCTCCTTACTCTTGTCTAGGAAACTAACGCTTATCGAACTTATACAAAAAATATGTTGTGACAATTTTATTCTACAACTATACTACTTTCCCATTTCAAACTCGTCAATCAACAGACTATTACATGCATGTAATTTTTCTGGACGATTACATTTAATCCATTACTAATCCAAAAAAAGTTGGTTGGTAGAAAGGGTCGATTGGTGCGAAAAAAGTCTACGTTGTGCAATTCTAATCGAATATATACGGAAAAAACAGTCTCAGAACTTGCAGAAAACAACAACATAGAACAACAATTTCTAGTTTAATGGGAATAAGAAGCTGTAATAGGTTAAAGATAAGATAAATCATAAAGTAAATTGAGCAATACTTGCATCAACTACAAAGAACAACTCAAATGAGGCAGATGCATCAAACGTAAGATAACAGTTTTAGCGTTTATCTCCATATAGGAATACTCTCGGGACTAAAAATATGTTTGGAACATCAACATCACAATTGAAAGTACACAAACAATGTCAATGCACTGACTATAGAGAAGAATTTGCAGTACCAATACGTCTAGGAATGACATTACATTTTTATTTCCTATTTCTTGGTAACAATTCAAATAAACACCAAGAGCATACAAAGTAAGTTAAACAATCTATCACAAAAAAACTATAAAACTAACCAACATCTTGTAACCTATGAAATTTTACCAACGCAGTGCCTTCGACGAGATCGTAAACAGAAATTTAAACGTTCCTGTTAATTATTTAAATTATGCACGAATCATTAAGTTCTTCGATATTCGTGTTTCGCCTGTCATAAAAGTCATAGATTTGTTGCAATAAGTGTCGAATTATCTATTTCTTGAAATCGGCAAAATAATGCAGAAATTTGACAGTCGCCCAACAGTTGCTACATAAATATTTGTGATTACTTCCTCTTGCATTTGTCGGTTTTTATTATAATCGGTTACTTTGACTTTGGGTTACATTCTAGTTTCAAAATGCAGTTGTTTATGTCAGATAAATAAGGAAATTATTACAAGGATAAAGCAGCATGATGAAAATAAAAAAAAGTTAAAAGTACTTTAAGAGAAAATAGGGCGAATAAAGAAACTAAATCACGGACAAAAAAAAACCAAGATAAACTAGCATGGAAACTGTGTTATAGATACTGACTTTAAGTAAGCAACAATCATTCCATCGATACTCCTGACTAGGAAGGGTGTATGCATTTCTGGAAAGGTGATAAATTCTTTGAAATAATCTGCGTATTAATTTGGTAGCTTAATTTGAAACATATAGTTGCCAATTTTAACTGAGGTTATTCCAAAAAGCGAAATTCACATATTTTATGAAGAGGGCTGTTTTACTCCAATTTTAATATGACCGGAGATACAATATATTTTTGAAGAATTCAATGTTAGTCGCAAATGAAATGTTTTCAACAGCGAAAAAAAATCCCTGTAATGATTTTGCGTCATATCCTTTTCATTTCACATTTTAGTTAATTTTAGGATTTGCACCAGATATGCAATGAATTCATGCAAAATAACATGTTCGGAAATCAAAAGATAAACAGGCACTAAGAGAGCAATTAAAACCTGCAAGTAGAAGGACAGATAACACAAAAAACGGCCCTCTCCCAAGAAACCACCGAAAGACAAATATTAGTATATATATAGCCTATCAAATACAACACAGACAACTACAGATATAGTCACTTCCTTATATCGTTCTTTACATGAATTATATCTAAAATTACTCAAAACTTTTACTTGCTTTACCTTATAATACAATTTCCGTTATTAATAGAAAATAAAATACTATCTTTATTTAATATTTACGGTCCTGAGACGTCACTGGCGATTTTATCAGGACAATAGGATGTGAACTGGTTAAATGTTGTGGGTGTTTCGGGTCCATAAAATTAAAGGCAAGTCGCAAATTAAAAATTGTCTGACCTCAATCTAGAAAGCGGTAACTTCATTCATATATATATGGTATTCGGAAATCGAGCTGCCTTTGCTTTACAGATTTTGGCTACAATGAGGTTAATCATAGTTTTGTTAAAATATAGTCGATTGGAAAAGAATTATTTACCATGGTGTTTCATGCGAATTATTCATTTTACAATAAGCTTTAAAAGTAAAGAGAAGATGTATTATTGCCAATGAGACAACTAACCACTATAGACAAGACATCGTAGAGCTAAACAGCTATTGATCACAGCACGGCCTTCAAAAATGAGCAAACTCCATACCGTATGTATTGTAAGCAGCAAAAGGCCCCGTGTATGCAAATACTTCTAATAGCGGACTATGGAAATGGTTTTCTCGAATAATTGAGAATTTTATAAATACTGACCATATTCATCTGCATTTATATACATTTTAAACGTAGACAGAAGACGAATAATATATTCTTTCATACTTTGAATTTAAAAAGAACAACGAAGACGTAGAAACATTGTTTGATTCCTATAACTGCCACCCGAATGCTTTTTATATTGCCTATAAATTTGGTATTTATAGTTCTGCTAACTAACACCTTTTTACTCAGACAATCTTCAAATGACAAAGCCTGTTATTAAAACATCAAAGACCATCCTTGTCTGAGCACTATAAATGGAAACTGGCAGTTATTAACAGGTGATTAATTTTTATCGCGTCTGAACATCTAAATAATTATTCTAATTAATACTTATTAGGTTATTTTACCTGAAAATAAGTTTCTGAATGACAAAAAGTGTGAAAATTATTACCATTTAATGACAATGCACCTGCTCAATAAGCGTGCGAAATACAGCATCGTTAGATGTGGTATGAAGAAAAAATAGATTCATATTTCATATCAGCTATAATTTCAACAAACGTTTCTATTTTACTCTTTTTTAAAAAGCTTTATCAATCCAATAAAATGGATGCAAATGCATAATCAGATAACGAGACGGTAAATTTTGTGTCGAATTGATGATATTACACAATAATTACACAAGAGAAAGTAAGTGTTTGTCATGATCTTCATAAAGGAAGCACATTTTCCATCTTTATAAAATGGGTCAATCATTATTTATTATAATGACGACATGTCAAGCTTGTCGTTGAACGTTTGTTGTCACCACTTACAGCGTACATGGACACATGGACATTTATTCATTCACAGTCATCGACCTGAACACGCATGAACTTTTTGCCACTGGACGTTAAGCAACCAACAATCAATATTCACAGTCATCAAATCAACAAATTATGTTGAGTTCTATCTTTGTATTTTTTGTTTGTCTCTTTAAGGGCATACGATACAGTTTTGATCCCACGGTGATTTTTTTTACGAAAATTTGCATACAAGCTATTTTTCACTTAGTTAATTCAAATATGTAAAAAAAAATTTACCTTCATCTGCTAAATCTAGAGTTAAATGGGGTCGAAATTTTAGACATTTACTTAAAATTTCGGTTTCTTGGACATTTCTATCCTTTGGACAGACATACTTAACTATTTTGTTTCAAAAGATATACACATGCGGATTTTTGTAAAATGATGTGGAAGATCTGCTTTACAAAAGTATGCTCTTAATTTGGAAACAATTCTTTGAAAATAATTCATTTTTATTAAAATTTCATGATTTTGGTAAAAAACAGCATTTTTTGCTGCATATTTATCTAATTAAATACAAATTCATCGGTGATTTTGTCATAAAAATTGGAACAAATAATCTTCATACAGTATCAAGTCAAATGTTCCTTTAAAAAAGAGGGGTCCATGTACTCGTTTCCAAGCTAATGATTAAAATCACTCGAAAAATGCATCTTTTCCCGATATGTCGCCGTTTGACGTCGCGAAAAATAACATATTACGTTAGCAACGTCATTACAACCCCTGTAACTGTATCGTATGCCCTTAACGTGAGAAGGGTATACAGTCTCCCTACACGAGCATCGGGTTTCACGTCTTCAGTCAAACCGGACGTTGCTGCCTGCGTATCTATACATCCCGCAAAGTCAAACAGACGTCCCTCTTCAGCATGGGTTTTACTAAAAGATGGGAGATCGACAAATGGCACTCAGTATAATTTTCATGTCAAATTTCTATTATCATTGAGAATACTGAATTTAACTGAGAGAAAACAATATTTCATTGGAAGTCGCGACTGTTTCTTTGCTTGTCAGAAGATTGTCCAGCCTGTTTTTTTTTATTAGTCACAAATATCAAGAAAAAGGAAGAAAAAGTTTGTTGTTTGTTGTCTGTTTTAGCCTAACATCCTATGGCAAAAATGTCATACATATTCAGGGCGAATCCAATAAGTAGTTTCTGCAAAGTGGGAAATCGAGACGAAAATGAAAAGTTGAGACTGCCAATGTTAAAAAATAAAAAATAAAAATTGGCAAGTTGGCAAGTTGGATAGGGAACGAATGAATTCTTAAGTAAATGCTTGCAATATAAAACATAGATATATTGATAAAAACGATTACTTCTAAACTTTATAGAATGATAGCTTGATTTCCTATTAGCCATCCTATGGTATTTTTTTAGTTTCATGAACGCCTTTTATCTCAGAAATATCATTAAAGGACGCTTTTGCACAATGTATTACGTGGACAGTAGGAGTATGTTACTACTTAAAAAATCAGCTACTTCGACCAAACTGTATCTTTATGAGTGGATATTGACACTTGACGTGTTATACTAATTGTAATAGTATAAGATGTAAACACGAAACAAATTTTGTCAGCAAGAATGCTTTACCTACTAAGTCTCTATTTTCTGTGGAAAAACGGAAATGCAGCTTGTTCTTTTTTTATGAATGCGCTTAAAGTAAAAATTTCAATTGGAACTTTTTTATTGCAAGAAAAAAGACGTTGATAAGACAATGAAGTATTATCCAAACAACAAAAATTTAGTAGTTGAAAATAAATATCTGTCTAGACAAGGCAGCTAGATACTAACTTCAGCTTTCTTTATTTCATCTGTTTTACATATCATTTCTCGCATTTAGTATTTCTGATCATGCAAGCAATATGAATGCTTCAAACCTACCTGATTTGACAGAACAATGGATATGACCACGTGATTCATAAAACACCCAATCAAAACCCGCTTCTACAGCTAAACGTGCCAACATTCCATATTTTGACCGGTCTCTGTCGCTGGTTGTTATATCTACAGCTCTACCTTCATAATGGAGAGAATCTTTGCAATGATGGTTATCTTCATCCCACGCTTCTGTAACTCTCAATTTAACACCAGGCCATGTATTCATCACTGAGACAGCAAGCGCTTGTAGTTTGTCTTTGGTTCTCTGAAAGGATGGAGTAAATGAATTTATAAAAACTAAACATATCAAACTAGTGCAATTAATAAAAAAATGTATTCTTTACAACTTTTATCTGATGACATTAACTTATGTACATAAAATTTGACTACAATTTATTGACACATAATCCAAACTTGTTAAAATTGGCACTATATTAATCTATTAACTGATAGGTTTCAGAATACATGTAATATTTACTATGCAACACGACTAATAACGTCACAACTAAGTTATATTTGGATAAAGAGCAGACATGTCACTTTATTCAAACTGAAAATTTTGAAGTGTCCTTTTATAACGTAAAGGGAACACCCCAGGGGAACACTGATGTTTAGTAATAACTCAGCAAAAGTCACAAAGTACAGATCTGAGAGTCCTCGCAGTTACTATGGGAGCAAGTTCAAAGCCAATAACAACTAATAAAAAAATCATGTATCTAAGACTAAAATATCATTCAGTACACATCCAACATCTAACGGATTTAGTGTAAAGACGCCATTAACAAAACATGACATTATGCAGTGCCAAAACATGTTTATTCACAGTCAATCATTACTAGAACATGTTTTGCTAATTACATTGGAATTAAGGTTACAAACATTTGTTGTGAATTTAGTTGTCTTGTATCTTTGCGGTATCACAAAATAACTCCACAAATGAATTTAATCAAAAATTCAATACTTGCCTACTATATGATGGGTTTATTTCTTATTAATACACTTATTCACTCATTTACCTCATATTCAATTATTTTCATTGAAGCGCGTTTCAAGCTAAACAAACTAAAAGCATTAACTTACAAGAGTAAAAATGTAACACTAATCGACTTCAATTTATTGTTCATTGTTATATGAAATTCTTTTCAGTGCAGCCACCGATATCAGAGTGTAGGACAACATAATTTCTTATCAGCAACTTAAATGGTTTGAGCTTGCTTTCTTAAATGGCCAACATTCTATGATACGGTATTTTTTTTTTTTTATAGTTTTCCCCATACTTGTGTTTTTGCTATACATCATACCTTATTTTTCCTTTACTGATGTATGTTTAAGAAGAACTTTATGTTATTCCACTGATTGAGATTTAAAAGGGGGAGGGTTGATATCTCGAAAAAAAAAAAAAATACCGCCACATGGACATGTATCTGTCCCTGGTCAGTAATGTCGTCAGTGGTTGTTCTTTCTCATATCTTACTGTATTCCTTCATTTTGGTGTTGATAGCAGATCTAGCTTTGCTATTTTTATGCCCCCACTGTTACCCTTGTCCGTCCGTACGTACGAACCCAAAATTGGTTTCGTTTCTCTAACTTTAGTTTGCTTCAATCAAATGTTATGAAACTTATACACAATGCTTATTACCACAAAGTACAGATCAAGTTCGAATTTGGGTGTCGACACTCTTACCGTTCTCGTGCTCCTTTATAACGTTATACGAAAGCGGGGAAATCATCTGTGTCCCATGGACACATTCTCCATTTATTTGTTATTGTTTTATAACTATTCTTAGCCTCGGGGTAACTGTCTATTGTTGAAGACTGTATGTTGATCCCCAGATGTCTTGATTTTTGGGTCCTTAGGTTATTTATTATCTTATGGACGTATACCACATATCTCCGTTAATTCATAATAATAGACCACCGACTCTTATAGTCTTAAGTGTGGTTTACAGCCCTATATTTCAAAATGTGTTATCACATCAGGACTGCTATTGTATCAAGCTTAAATTATGTAATGTTACATATTTAATTATCAAATGAATAACCTTAACATGATAAAAATAGACAGTACACTCAAATTCAATGTAACTTTTCATAAAAGCTATATCATGATAGAGAAGGTCAATTTTTTCAAAGTTTTCGAATTTATTTTTCTATTAACATAAATACAACAATTAGGTATTTACTAAATGCTTGTTTCATGATTATTCAAAGATTACTTCTTTGTACAAACAAAATATTTCTTCCACAATATTCTTCAACTGATAAAATACCTATTCATTTTTAAAATAAATGTTATAGATTGTTTTGTGATAAGTTCTTTACCTAACATGGAATGACATTAAAAATAGAAGATCAACCTAAAAAAATGTAAAAACGAAGTTCTATAGAAATTGCAAAGCTTATGTTATAAATTTAAATCCACTTTAGTGAAGCGGTTGCTTTTGGCTATACATAATCAAAAATCAGTTTATCTACAACTTTTAAAGTTTTGTTAGAAAGATACTAGTAAATAAATAAATTTAAGAAGAATTCAACTAAGATTTTTTCACACAATTCACTATCATTATTTGTTCAAGAAGAACATCTTATGAGAAGATTATATACGGATTAATCTGTCCTCCTGTATGAAGAAATACCATTCACCCAGAGAAACAAAGTAATGTTGACCAGCTTAAATCTCCCTAATGAGAAAAATACTACATAGAATCAAGGCCTATGTTCTTTAATAATAAATTTAATTACATGATAATATTAAAAGAGGGTTACATTGATACAGGACGGCATGATATTTATCCAGGTTTATCGTAAGAAAAAATCGGACCTATGGTATGTTTCACGTTATATTAGAATAATCACAGATCTCATTACTATATACTTCCAAGGTCTCAATAGAAAGGTATAAAACCACAATTATATCTTTACAACTATATTTATACCTTTTAATCACATTACATAATTAAATTAAAAGAAATTGATTCTTTAATTTAAATATCAAATACATAAATTGTATTTTGATTTGATTTGTCTTGCTAGTATTTTGCTAAACCTCACTAGATCCTATTTTATGAGATAATGCTTTTAAAAAAATGGGACGTTTCTTATGTTTTTATCAATGAAATCTTGACAAGTTATAAAAAATACATTTCAAGGAACATCAGGCACATTGGAAAACATGAATGTATTTTAAATTTAGTAACAGACCTTCAAAAGACCTGCTTTGAATTTTTTATGATACAGTATTATTTAACAACATATCAATGTATTTGATTATTCATCTTGCACACAATTGCTAACTGAAAAGTGAGCCATATATTAATACAACGTAACTCGAGTGGCCACATAAATGAATATTTTACCTCAAAATGAGGACAAGTATGCTTAAAATTGTTATTTACAAGGATAAGGGTTCTTCAGCTGAATAACACCGTCTTTAGAGCGTTTTACAGTTTCGGCAAAGGTACAAACAGTTTTAAGTTCAATAGTGATAAAGATCAATCTTTTGTTCCGAAGATTAACGGCTAGATGGACCATATTATATATTCACTTCAGATAAACAAGAATAGTATTTTATTGTAAGTCAAATCATACATTTTTGCCTTTCATATACGACACTTCAGACTAAAGGTAAACAAATATAAAAGTTAGTACATACAACTGAGGAGTGAACGGTTTTAAAGTTAAATATTTATTTAAGTTAGTTAAACTATAAATTTAGATATTTGTAAATAATTTAATTTTATAAAACAAACTTTCCTTGAATATTAATTTCAGTTTAAATTGCTCATTTATGATTTTTGTAAAAGGCTTGGCATTTTTTTCAAAGTACACTCCAAAAATAAATACATATTTTATGACATAGGAAAGTACAAAATTTACATATATATATATATATAAAAGGAACACATTGAATTAGCAATAAATTTATAAATAAATAAACGAAAAAAAAGTAAAAAAACAAAACAAAAACAAAGCAAATATTTAAAAAAAAAATGACACTAAATTAAACAACTATTCATGAGTTCTACCCAATATGCACTGTCACTTCGAAATAGTGTTTTATTCGAGTGACAATATTCAGTGAAAATTTTGTCTCTACATTATTGATGGTTTTATCCCAAATGTTTGTCCTTTCAGCGATAACAAATGCCTTCACTTACAAAAATTAGATTTTAAGGAGATATATCCAAATGCTGTCTTTCACTGAATACCAATTCAGTTGTTTAAAAAAGTTTAAAAAAAATAGTTGAAATGATTTAATTTCGGAAAGTGCTGTTACTAAAATAATTGTCTTTCTACAATTAATACCGTTATTCATTTTGCGAGTACAAATATATGTAAATGAACTACTGGTATCTTTTGTTCATTTTTCAAGGTCTTGTGACGATGCAGAGACTTCTTTAAGAAGACACGATCACTATCGTATAAACGGCTAATTCACAGGGTTGTTCCAGTCTGAACTAATAAGTTAAATCACAGTTTGATTGAACAATATTAGACTATTGTCGTTGACATATTTACGAAGATAATTCACATTCGACCGTTACCGGATTCAACTGCTACTTCAAATCAGTATGGAATATGGCGGCAATTGCATGCCAATCAGAACAAACCTTCCGATGCACCTGAAATCACTCACGATATTTTGATTGCGTTGGTATTGCTCGTAGTTGTTGGTTTATGTGGAGCTTTTGTGGACCTGTTCGTCTTTTTGAAGGTCTTTCGTTTTTTGCCATGACATTGTCAGTTTTCCTTCGATTTATGAGTTTTGAACGTCCCCTTGGTATCTACCGCCACTTTTTTTTAGATGTTCTTTATTCGTTAACATGTTCTTTTTCTTCAAATTTGATCCTTACACCTTTTTCGCTTTTTATTTTTATTTTTCGTTTATATTGTACACGGATATTACTATTTTTCTTTTCAAACAATAGATGAAAAATTAATAGTTAAGATATCAAGACGACATTACCTAATGTGCTTCGTTTAAATTCCAGTAGTAACATTGACACTGTTGTTTGACAACATTGCAGCAAAGTCATAAGTGAATATAGGACAAAGCACTGACAAAGAAGAGTGGTGAATACCAACTCATATTTAGATGTATTGGGAGTACTTTGTTCATGCCTACCCCAACTTTTCAGGCAAAAATATTTTTTTACAAACTGTGTATTGACGTTAAAATAGTATTTCATTCATTGTTGTCAATTTGTGTTTTTTTGTGGCTTATTTCAATATTTTTTTCGCTACTAATGCAACTCACCTAACGAA